AAAAAAAAAAAAAGGGTAGCCCCTTCTGACCTCGTTGCACCAAGTTCATTCTTTGAGGATTCGAACGCATGACGTGTTTATGAACATTTACACAATGTCCCTCCTCTAGCCCGATGGACTAGGCTAGCTTCGTCCGTTTTCTTAGCATTTGTCTCCCACCTCTCATCACTCTACCCCGCTCCACGCCTTCCGTCTCGCCTCCTCTCCCTCCTGACCTGCCGCCAGATGTCTACCTATAAGCGCCAGATCCCCCTGGCAAAGAGGGTTGGAATAAGTGTCGGAACCTGGACGTTTTCCACGCAGACATGCAGAAAAGGAGATCAGTCACAGTTGTTTGCACTTATCCACAAACACGAGCAGGTTCAGACACTTATTCCAAGCGTTTTTGCCAGTGGGATCACGTCCTAACTCCCTTTCCTTCATCATATGACAACAGGAAGGCCGTTCTTTCCACGCACTTCGCTCCTGCCTATGGGGCACCCCCCACGCAGCTATGTCTATGGTCGCAGGTCCTGAAATCCGTCCAGCACCCAAGAGCCTAGCTCAGTGGGTACACCCATGAACTGTTGAAATACACAACTGTGTTCGAATCCAGATGACGGAACTTGACGAGTAAAACCAACTACTAATGAATTGCTTGGGGCCGGTCAGCTCAATGATAATATCTCAATCAAGGCCATCGCAATAAAATTAAAAAAAAATAAAAAGAAATAAAAAATCCGTCCAACCCATGTAATCGGAGGTTGACTTTCACCATCCTGCCAGCACCGTCGGATTTCTGGGAACGCTTCAGTGGGATCTGCCCCTATCACTATTCATGTTCCTTTAGCTCTTTTTTTTTTTTTTCTTTTTCTTTTTTTCTTTACCTCTTCTTATTATTCTTATCCCGCCCTTCCCAGCCCATTCTCCGAGGGCACAGTCGTATCACGAGTTTATAAACTAAACCTGCCTCTGACCAATCCGGTCACAGACGTGAAAGCGCCTGTTGTAAGACCATGCCCCACTGAACCTCGTTATTTTTTTTCTTTTTCAATTCATTACGCCAAGCAAGTCGAGGCCGGGGACCTCACAATTGTACCCGGAGTTATCTGGCAGCATCAGCCAGCTTAGCTTACAGGCGCCTGCGCCTGGGCCTGCAGAAGTTGTTACTGCCAACTTTTCCAGTTCCTAAATAAAGATCAAACCCACTCTCCACATACAGCTATCAGGGCTGAAAACCACCAGTACTTGGCGCATACATCGGCCGCGGGCCCTTAGCGTTAACAGTACGCAAATTTCGCGGCCTGTGGGCCGTGGATCAATCGCATCAACAGCCCATGTCGCTTCGTCGACCTCCGAGGGCCGGCGCGCAGGCTCGGCATCGATAGCTGGGCCAAGTACTGGTGGTTTAAGTTTGATTTTTAGAACATTCTGCACCTCGTGTTACAGTGAAGTACCCAAGTCCCTCTTCTGTTATAAGGTCATCTTCCCTTATTCTACTTATGTCCCTGTCTAAACTACCAAACTAACCTGCGCTAGTCCCATCTACCCTACTACTATTACAGAGGCCCACCCTGGCTGACAGATTGGAACCACTGTTCCAAGTCACCATGGCGCTCTCCACTCACCACCCCTTGGTGACCTCCTGCGGTCAACGGTTCAACCAACCGTGATTGCCCCTGGCCCACGTCTTCAGAAACCACCACACGGCCCGGCTGGAAGCCTCACCACATTTCGCCCTTCTGCGCCAGTGACCCTCGTCTATTCCCCCTCTAGGGCAGACTGAAAGAATTCAGCGGTTTTTCTTTCTTTTTTTTTGTTGTGTGTGTTGGTGTGTGGGTGTGTGCACAGTGTGTGTGTGCGTGTGTGCATGGGTCTCGCTCCACTACTCCACACTCTAAAAAAGAGTCGGCTTCGCTCCACTTGCACTAGAGGGCGCTACTCTAGACGGACTCTCTAACACTCAAAAGCAGAGTCTGGAGTAGTGGAGCAGGCAACCACTCACCAAATCTGCGAATTGAGAATGAATCTTCTGCTCCAA